AGAACAGGAGAGTCAACCTGTGCCGTAAGTTTGCAGTCAGCATGGAGAAGTCAGAGAGAACCGCTGATCTGCTACCTCCAACCCGGGGACAGTCAACCCGACGTGAACTAAGAAACTCAACAAAACGGACTCTCCCTACCACACGTACAACAAGATGTAACAACAGCCCTCTACCGTCCCTCTTAAGACTGTTGAACGAAATGAAATGATAGTGCTCTTAACTCTGTAAATGCCTCTCTTGTGCAATTTGTATATGAAATAGTTTAATGTAATGTTGAAATGTACAGTACTAATGTGAATGAAAAAATTTGAATTTCACTATGCTAAATATGTATAATATCGTGTAAATACTTTTTTAATGCGTAACTGTATTACCACATCTTGACTCCAAGATTGTGCTGTCGTTAAGTTTTTAAAACAGGATGTACATCTTAGAACGCAATTCAGCTTTATGCTGCAATGTTCTTGATTTTAGCAATAAACCATTTTTGATTGATTGATTGATTGATTGATTGTTAAACAAGAAAAGATACCCACGTTTGCTAAGTTTACTGTCGACTATTACAACATCCATTTATAACCGAAACAACTTTTAAAACATTGTACTCATTGTACAAATGATTTTGATTTGGTGGGAACATCACATATACATAGCCACCATCACATAGAAAAGGAGTAAAATACATCACTGCATCAAAGTAAAAGACAAAAATTACATCAGAGCGTTGTTTTGTCTCCTCTCTTGATATCTATCTGCCAAGTTTTGGCATGGCAACAGGCATCTTTGCCCATTTTCGGCATATTGACCACTATCTGAAGGCAACAAATTTCCTTGCTTTCCCCCCAAATCGGTAAAAATTAATGCGCGCGCTGATGCCATCCATAAAATTACCTGCCGGGGCCTTAGTTTGATAGGATTTACCTTTCAGTAAACAAACAAAACATAGTCAGTGATTGATCTGTGTTGCATATTCATTGGTAAATGCAGGTGTTTAAAAACATTGCAAGCTGTTGATTTAACTAACTTTCTTTCGCAAAACACGCTATGTGCCTCTCACTAGGCATGCTCAGTTCATCAGTCTGATATTTATAAACATGGTGTCATGAAAAAAACATCTATCGTAAATACGTTATCCATAAGCTTTTCTGGAGACGCGTGGCACGGCCATGAGGGGAGTAATCAATATTTACAACTTTGCATTGAACAACAGAAACGAACATTAGGTACAAAAAAAAAAAATAAACCAACACCTGTTAAGACATGTATCTGAGTAAGCATGTATGCGTCTGGGTAATGAGATAAACACACGCACGTTATGCTATACGTCAAACTCCACCGCCGTTAAACCGTGCAAACTACAGATACTTTACCGCCGTTGCAGCCCGGACTAGATAGGGTTAATATGTAATTCTGTCGTCATATCAAACCAGGAAAGCGGGTAGTCCCTCACAATTGTCTAAAATACATTTAGGGAATTCGGAAGCTAAAATAAGAAAGTAGTATCAAAGGAAATTTGACGTTAGTAATGAGACCTTTATCTTTGAACCACTAATCATATTCCAGTTATACTAAACGCTCAGGTGATAGTGACTGTCGTCTAATTTGATTTTTGTAAAAAGGAAATCACAAATTCCAATCTCATTCTTGGAATGTTTAGACCAATTCTTGGAGTGTGTTACTAACATTTCAAAGTTGAGTTGATCCCCCCCTTAGCTAAACGTTGAGATACAACCCTCAGACAAAGACTGGTACACCCTAAGGACCGACCTCACAAGGGTACCAAGGCGAATGTTATTTACAGACTCAAATGTGAGGAGCCCAATTGTAACAACACCTACATCGGAGAGACAAGTCGACCGCTTAAAGTAAGGTACAAAGAACATTGCCGACCTAGTGCCAACGGCTACTCCTCAGCTATTTTCCACCACCTACAACACAACCAGGGTCACTCTTTCAAACTCGAGTCCACGGATGTCTTAGACCGCGAAACACGCTGGTGGGAACGGGGTGTTAAAGAGGCAATATATGAAAGAATGTACAACCCCACCCTCAACAGGGAAGGGGGGCTACGGGTCGATCTTTCCGGCACTTGGGATTTGGCACTCCCAGCCCCGAGGACAGACAACACTTAAGCTCCTGTCCTGTATAACAGGAGCTTTCAGACTAATTTGCATCATCGTGTCTTAACTTGTCTGACTTTTGTTCCTTTTTCGACTTCCAAAAATTTGTCTTCACTTTATTTGCATATCAATCAACAGGTTGTGTATATAAACCTGCTTTCCCCTCTGGTCTCTCAGTCACTGACGAAAGCTAGTGGATACTAGCTGAAACGTCTGACGTTTTCAAAATCATATCCAGTTGCTTGAGTAACTGTTTTTTGGCATTACGTTGAGATACAACATGGAATAAAACTGACGAATGTACTGGACAGGTATTTTGTACATTTTATTACGTAATGCTAATTGAATGTGCCTAAAATTTTTATTTTGTTACGTGCCTACTGAACACTTTTCAAACTGCTACAACATCTCTGACTTCATAAAAAATTTTTCCATGGTGCAGTTATTCTTTTCAAAAGATATGTTCACATCATATTGTAGTATCACAATACTTTTAATCCAATCTCAATATTCCTGCTCATATTGTTGTTTACTGTTTATTTTTTATTTGATGGATCTCCATCTACTACATGTACTGCACTATTCTTCCTGGGGTCGTAAAACACATCAAAACAAATCATTACGAACTTAGTGTTACCTCACATTATGAATTAAATATTTGCTTTAGTAACATTCTGAATTCAAAAACTTTGAATATAATATTGTAACATTGTTATAATCTTTGGTTAATGAAGGGGATAAAAGCAGTAATTGATACAATTTTTAATTAAATCCAACGTATTAAGACTAAAAAAAGCTACGTTTAAACAACAATCATCATGATATTTACACAATGAGATATAAAACAAATTGCGACACATGCTAGATAATATAAATAAGTAGGTCATACATATGAAACGCCATTCCTTAAAGGCCTTACGATAACAACAAAAAACAACTTAAACTTAGTTTCAAATTGGTAGCTCTAACGGAAATGGAACACACTGATGCTGTTAGCATAACTGTTTCAAAAATTACAAACATTGTCCATCTCATCCTCACTGCTTAACATCAACGTTAATCGACACGTTGATTGGAACTTCTCGGCAATCTTTCAGATTAACTTGTTCATCTTGTTAACCTTAAAAATATGTCAGATAATGTTTAAAGTTAAAACTTTTGATCCAACACAAAAATTCTCTCACCTAGAGCTTTCAACCAGTCACTCTGGTCTTCCTCAGTAGACTGACCCAGTGAAGCTTGTCACGTGGCTTCTTTGAAGTGTGACGTCAACACTGGGTCAAAGGTATCTGGAAGACGATGTCGGCCCCCGTCGCGGTTCAATGTAGGGTGATGGGCCCTGATGTAAATGGCTTCCTTCACCCCTCTCAAGAAATAGTCTTGTTCAGTGTCTAAAATCCTTACAGTATCAGTGTCACTGTAAGATCATGTGTTGGATCGAAAGTTTTAACTTTAAACATGTAACTACCAACACAGATGAACTTTCATGATAATGTCAGATAATGCTAAACTGCACCTCACTCTTAGAGGCTCCACGTTGTTACTCTCTATGTACAACATTTAAATGATGCAACTCACTCAAACTTACATTGGAGACATCAAGCGCATCTATCTCTAGCTCTGCTTAAAAAATCTTTAAGTTTAACAGTCAATTAGATATACAAGTCTCAACACTACATGTGTTATTAGGGCCTAACTTTTCTCTTCCAGTTCTTCTAGCTCTGATTTGGGGATATGCTTCCACCAATCAGATATATAAGGTCGATATGTAATTCCTAGATTGACGGCGATATTTTTGTGGTCAATCAGTTATAGAATTCGAAGTCACTCCTGTTCAATACCCTTTTGATAACCTGGTTAGCATTGGTATTTAATGTATTGGGGTATAGTGGGTGCACTGTTATGTCAACTTCGAGTATTTATATGTAGGTCATATTTTGTTGTGTGGCACTGTTAAGATAAGTTACGAACTTGAGTGCAGCGCCATTCTGTCTTTCTTACTGTTTTGTTGTGTATATAAAATTAAAAATAAAACATCATGCTTAAGCTTCTGTATTATTATTCTGTCTTTCTTACTGTTTTGTTGTGTATAGAAAATTAAAAATAAAACATCATGCTTAAGCTTCTGTATTATTATTTAGGGCATCTTTTACAAACTTTACCATACAACCACCGACCACTTTCATGTGGAAAGTGACTCTGGGTAGCTTGGCAGATGAACCTTTTTTTATAACAGCATCTGGTATCGTCCCACATCGGGGTGCCGGTGGGTTCTGACCAGTACTGTACACAGTCTGGCAATTCAACTGACCAAGACCATGCTGTTTCCCATGCTGTGTTTGGCTCGTTTGGATTCCATCCCTAATAAAAAAAAGTAGGTTTACTACCAACAAAAGCAAAATGATATATCTTTTTAAATCTTGAGTGTATTCTTTTCTGTAACCAATATCTTAGATTTCTGTCTATGAACACACACTTTTATGCAAAAAGGCACGTTATGTGGTTCAATTAAGGGTCATAAGTGTATACTCGTAATATCAATCTGTTAGCAAAATCTATAGTGTCAATAGAAACAGTTGAGAGTAAAACCATACAAGTATAAGGAACATTAAAGAGGTTGAAGTCTGTACTTGTCTTCTCAATGAGTCTCATACCCATGAGCACACAGACCGTGTTAACGTGCGTTTGTAAATATTGGTCATCCAGGTAATTAGATAGGCCAAACGGATATGATTTTTAGTAATCGGTCAGACATTTTAGGTAGCATCCACTACCTTTCGTCAGTGACACTGGAGACTTGTCAGAAAGACAGGTTTATAAGCACGAACTATTGATATATATGCAAATAAGAGAAAACACTGTTTTTTGTAAGTCCGAAAGAAAACAAAAGTTAGTCAAGTCAAGGGAAGGATGATGCAAATTAGTCAAATAGCCAATGTTGTTGTTTTTTGTTTGTGTCACTTGTGTTAACGTACCTTGTAATTTTCTAGTGGGGATCCGTCTAGCCATTTCCAGGTGCCGTCGCACTTAACCAGCCCAATCCAGTAGTCTTGACTCCCTCCAACTTTTCTTATCAGGTTTCTCAGAGCGACGTCCAATTCCTTTGTCTTGGGCATTGCTAGTGTCGCCCCGTCTTTCTCACAGGCTGCCAGAGCTTTTGCGTACTTCGTTTCGTAAAAAGAAACCTTGATACAGGTTTGAGCGAGTAGTTGGTAGCCATACGGACATTTAGCTGAAAAAGTTATACCGGACTTTTGGTCACCATTTAAAAAAAAAACTTTTACTCGTTAAGAAGTTAAATTTGAAATATTACCGTTTACACTAAGACTAACCATGTTTAATCGTTTGTAGAAAGATGAAGATTTGGTGGCTTTCTTTCAATAACCCTTTCGAGTCCGGGTCTTTTAGGGATTCGTGGGACAAGTGAGTGGGGACTCATTCGCCCCCTCCCCTCAGAAACGGTATATACTAGTAGTATGACCCTCAAATTTCCAGAGAATGTTTTGCTAAAGAAAACGTATCATCACAACAATTTATTGACGTTATCACGTTATGTGACATCATTATGGTGTCATTACTTTGGTTTTATTGGCCAATACCGCCTAGTTAGGTTATTCCCGGTCCCTTAAAGCATAATGATATACAACATAACTTTAACCAAAAGTGTTTATTACAGAATATTAGGGTCTACTGAGACTTATGTGACGTCATTACATTAAACCCCTTTCCATGGCAACACAAAAAAGTATGAACCTATTCCACTGATAGGAGATTGTTGCCAACCATTTTTGGAAAAGTAAGTTTGTTGGTTCTAGCACAAGCCGTTCAGACGCTATTAGACATTAAAATGGCGCGGGCACTTTTAGCACCCCCCGTCCCCGATCTAGATAGGGTTAAACTACTCCAGCCTGCCCTTCTTTTCTTTGTGTTTTACATGACTATCATTTTTCCATTCTAAGTCCCATCAGAATAAGCTGATACCCAGGTGTGCCAAAGAACTCATAAGAATTTTACGGAATCCATACAGATTTTACGAAATACATACGATCCATTACAAGGAAACATGCGGATTTTACGAAATACATACAATCCGTTACCAGAAACATACTAAGTTTACATGATACATGCGATCCATTACTTTGAAACATGCGATTCTTACTAATTTGGTGAGTTGCGCCTAGATCCCCAAATTATTAAGGGTCGTGTGTTTCCGAATAATATATATATGTATAATTATATGCTTTCCGTAAAATTCGTATGCGTCTAATAACGGATTGTATGTATCTAAAAAAAATCGTGTTTCCTTATTAATAATGAATCGAATGCAATTTGTACAATTCGTATGGATTCTGTAGAATTCGTATTATTGTCTGGCACCCCTAATACCTACACCTTTCTTTCACTTCTAGTCTAGCCAGGAAATTCTTTATTTCTAAAAAACCAACCTCTGCATGTTGGTGGGTTTCCAGTCCAGGTCCCGTCAGACCGACATGTGAGTAGAGAAGCACCAACCAACGTGTATCCTTCTTCACAAAAGAAACTCAGAACCTGGGCGGAGCCATTGTAACGAACATTTGCTGGGGGACGTATCATGGGACATACTGCAGCTGTATAGATAAAAAAAATAACAATGGCATCTGATATTAAACGTTTTACACGAGCAAAGGATTCGGAGACCATCTGTTACCTTCACCAGGGCTATAATGACTGGTTTACTGTGCTATTGTTTTAACCCTATATAGACCAGGGAGGGGCTGAAAGTGCCCGCGCCAACTTTGATGTCACGCGTAGCATCTGAACAGCTAGAGCTAGAACGGCCAAACTTGGTGACTTTTCCTAGAATATTGTTGGAAACAATTCGGTATCATTGGAATAAGATAATAATGTTTTGTGTGACCATGGCAACGGGTTTCTTGTAGGTATTTTTTGCTAAATTTAGTAATTTCAGTTTCAACAATATAATTTTATGGGTTTTATGTCATGTTACACATGGTTTCTAATATTAATAACATCCCATATAATTTCATGTAAATTTTATAATCAAAAATGCATAATTTATGCTAATTTGATGACGTCATTGGCCAAAATCCAAGATGGCGGACCATATCATTAGAACAGGTATATACAGGTTATTTTCTTAAAATTTCATCAAAACTTCAATTTCTTTTTACAAAAAAAGGTTCAATCCAAAATGGCGGATAGCTTAAAATGCATGACGTCATTTTATGACGTCACCGGTGTTGCTATGGGCAACATAAGACTTAGTACACCCTAATTTTCTGTCATAAACACTTTTGATAAAGTTATGTTGTATACCATTTAGTTTTCTGGGTATAACCTATTTAGACGGCTTTGGCCCCAAAAAAATCACATTTATGACGTCATAATGACGTCATACAATGTCATAACTGTAGATATGATAAAATATGGTCATACTGCATACTGTTCTCGAGTTCTGAGGGGTGGGTGTCAAATGAGCCCCCCCCCCCCCCCCCGGTCCCACCAAGCTCAAAAAAGCCCAGTCTAGATAGGGTTAAGCTCGGGATTTAATTGTTACGGTAACATCCATTTGTGGGGTCGTGTGACGTAGCGGCAGAGTGCGCGACTCGGAACTAAGAGTCCCGGGTTCGAGTCCTGACATGCCACCGATCTTGTGCCCTTGGGAAAGGCACTTTACACGACTTTCCTCACTTAGCTCAGGTGTAAATGAGTATTGTCCTGTCATGTATTTGTCCCCTGTGTTGGTGGCGGTATTAATATAAGTTGAAAAAACTTGAGTGTGTCGTCACCACGTCCGGTGATTACATGTTGGAATAAAAAAAAAAAAAACAAGCTCCGGAGCGCAGTGAACCATGTGCCACCTAGCCCCATTACACAGTGCACCAGTCATGATAGCCCTGATGAAAGTGACAGATGGTCACCAAAACGTTGGCTCATATAAAACGAATGGTTGTAAATTTAAAAAAAAGCTTTAATATCAGCATTTACCAACCTGATTATATCATTATTTTTCTGCATTACCAACCTTTCATGCATGTCGGAGACCTTCCACTCCACGTCCCGTCAGACTGGCAGGTAAGTGGAGAATCACCGACCAGCTTGTATCCTGGGTCACACCCGAAGTAAACCTCGCCTCTGTAGGAGTCAGTCATCATGGATCCTTTTGCTGGTGGTGTCAGCTCTGAACACTGCAGTGTAGTTGTCATCATCGGTGGTTTGGTCGTCACCTGTGGCGGTGTGGTTGTGACATGTGGCAGTGTCGTTGTGACCTGTGGCAGTATGGTTGTCACATGTGGCAGTGTGGTTGTGACCGGTGGCAGTGTGGTTGTGACCGGTGGCAGTGTGGTTGTCACATGTGGCAGTGTGGTTGTGACCGGTGGCAGTGTGGTTGTGACCTGTGGCAGTGTCGTTGTGACCTGTGGCAGTATGGTTGTCACATGTGGCAGTGTGGTTGTGACCGGTGGCAGTGTGGTTGTGACCGGTGGCAGTGTGGTTGTTATCGGTGGCAGTGTGGGTGTGACCGCTGGCAGATTTCTTGCCCTCACAAGGCTTGTGGCCTGTTGACGTAAACCAAATGTGGTCAGTATAAAGGTATCTATCGAGTGCCTTGATAACAACAAAACACAATGTTGAGGGGCTACGTTTTGGATGTGCAAAACCGAAATCATCTAAGATTTTCCTTACTTGAGCTGTAGGTATTAGCATCGTTGCTGTTTCGTGCGATGGTGGAAACATGTTGGTTGCCCGATGCAGTTTAGTACTTTTAGCAGACAGAAAGGATGTAGTTGTCAAAGAGACTGGTAGGTAGGTTGCAGTCACGGTGGTAGTTACAGGCATAGCAGTTGTCCAGTTGTCTCCATCAGTTACCACAGAGGGCTATAAAAAAGACGTACATTGTACAATGTTACAACTTCTTCAGTTATTACTTCCTTTGGTTCATTTATCATTGGCGTTCAGCACATTTGTCGAACAATTCACCACAACAGCCACATAACAATATTTCTTATCGAAGAAGATCTTTATTGCACGACAACTGTACATAGTAGAATGTATGGCACCGACTATTGAACATAGTACAAAAAAGGGTATAGAATGAAAATTAGCTAGAATAAAATAGCTAATACAGTATACAACCAAGTACGGCTAATGATAAATTTCAGCATTTTTAAAAAATAAATGTATTTACCTATTTTTGCATTGCAAGACCCGGAGTTATTGCATTTTTGAAAAAAATTATATATTTAAATCTGTATTAGTTACAACTTCCTGGTGATATGTGTGGAACTAATATAAATTAAAATTAGAAAAGACTTAAGTAGAAAACTAACCATGTTGATTTCAGCCGGCCCTCCAAGTGTACCAGTGAGATACATGATGATACCAGTTCCTGCACTTAACAAGGCCAACACTGCAATGGCGATGATGATAAATTGTAGGACACGGCAAAACGCCATCTTGCAGCTTTTTAAAAATCTGGAGACGTTTGTACCATCGTTGATATCTGAGAGGAATCAAAGAATTTTCCAATAAATCTTGTTAATTTTGTGTCATCATTATCATATTTACCGGAATTTTATTATGTAGTCCATGCTTAGTGCATGTCCAAGACTATTTCCTGAATGGGGTGAAAGATACTATTTTATTTTAGGGCTCAACACCCTTTACTCATCTGCAATGGGGGCGACAAGTAACCTCGTGACAAGCCCCACTGGGTCAGTCTACTGAAGAAGACCAGAGTGACTGGTTTAAAGCTCTACATGTAGGTGAGAAAACTTTATGGTGTTGGATCTAAATTTTTAACTCTCAACACGCATGTCCACATGTGTTTGTGAACATCTGAATGATCTTCAACATGGGCATATTACCAACAAGAGATCACGCAGATGGGACTTTAAACTTATTTAGTACGCTACCCTGGAAGTTTGGTTACAATCATTGTAACAGAATCAAACCTCTGTGCTTACCTTGTCGTAAGACACCAGGTACATACATCGCATTGTCAATGAGGCCAGGATTGTTGCGGTCTGTAACTGCAGGATCATCTAATTGCTGTCGAAGATTGTTGATGCCATCCGTGTCAACATTTTTGTGTACGTGGCCTTCAGTTGGAGTTTCGGTTCTGAGGCCAGGATTGTTGCGGTCTGTAACTGCAGGATCATCTGATTGCTGTCGTATATTGTTGATGACATCTGTGTCGACATTGATGTGCAAGTGCCCTTCAGTTGGAGTTTCGGTTCTGAGGCCAGGATTGTTGCGGTCTGTAACTGCAGGATCATCTGATTGCTGTCGAAGATTGTTGATGCCATCTGTGTCGACATTGTTGTGCAAGTGCCCTTCAGTTGGAGTTTCGGTTCTGAGGCCAGGATTGTTGCGGTCTGTAACTGCAGGATCATCTGATTGCTGTCGTATATTGTTGATGACATCTGTGTCGACATTGTTGTGCAAGTGCCCTTCAGTTGTAGTTTCAGTTTTCTTGCCTTTAGCAGACAGAGAAGGCACACTGCATTCTTAAGTCACATTTGTCTTTTTCTGTGTACATATGATATAATTGAAGTTAAAACAATCTAGAGTTCGGTGATCTTATACCTCCATTACATGTTTAGTGCTTTTCTATCTTTAATACATGGTGATGGCAACAGGTAAATGGCTTACATGTACAATCCTGCTCATTAGCAAAAACTCTTGCAATTATTTGCAGATATAATATCAGTTGATCATATTCTCCAACCAATCAATTATCTAATAAATAAAGCTAATCTAGCTTACCCCCCATGAATTATTCAAATGAGCTCCTTATTCGAATAAATTATGCTTAGTGAGTTTCATGTTAACTATACTTTCAATTATGTCAAGTAATTAATTCCCAGCAGTTACCACTATAAAATTCTAGCAATTTCACAATAATTATACAAATTAGATCTTCATTTTCATAATCAATATATTCCTGTCGTTCTCAATTACATGTCACAAGTATTTTTATAGTACTAATATCGAACACAACAGATCTATAGAATTTCCTAATTTATTCAGCAAATTAGATCCAGATTTGCATAACTGTAATTTAGTGATGCAAAGCATCACTTCACCTACCAACATACCGAAAATCACAACAACTGTTATACCGGTTTCTTAGTTATCCTATCTCGAAGATTTTTAAAGAAAACCGTCTAGAACAAGCTGATTGGGGGCCCAAATTCACGTGACTTCTTACCGAGCAGAATAGCTATCTACCATCCAAATTCCATGTACAGAACGCGTGATAAACCACAACAGGACGGCTTTAAAAATACATTTTGAATAGTTAATAACCTATTTGTATCGCCCACCTTAGTTAGTAAATATCTAAGCAGAAATTCACAACTCTATGACTGTTTGACTCGGTTTGTCGAAAAAAGTCTGCTACTAAAATTAAATACCCTTGAAATAGAAAGGGGATTTTTTTTACTTACTATATAAGACATGTATTCTAAAATAAACAAATTGTGTTAACCCTATCTAGACCGGGCTTTTTTGGGCTTGGTGGGACCGGGGGGGGGCGTCATTCGCCCCCCCCTCAGAACTCGAGAACGGTATATCGTAGGACCACCAAATTTTCAGAGGATGATGTACTAGTAAAAATTTATCATACGTACAATTTTTATGTCGTTGTGACGTAATATGACGTCATTATGACGTCATTAATGTGATTTTATTGGCCAAAACCGTCTAGATAGGTTATTCCCTGAAAACTAAACAGTATACGACATAACTTTACCAAAAGTGTTTATGACAGAATATTAGGATGTACTAAGTCTTATGTTGCCCATAGCAACACCGGTGACGTCATAAAATGACGTCATGCATATATTACATATCCGCCATCTTGGATCATCAATCTTGAATTTTGAAAAATAGTTTTTTTTTTTCAGGATGAAGCCTTAAATACATTGTAAACAGACTAAAGACATTCATATGAACCTTTTTTGTAAAAAAAATGGGAGTATTGATGAAATTTTAAGGAAAATAAGCTGCATTTACCTGATCTAATGATATGGTCCGCCATCTTGGATTTTGGCCAATGACGTCATCAAATTAGCATAAATTATGCATTTTTAATGATGAAATTTACATATAATTATATGTGATGTTACTAATGTTAGAAACAATGTGTAACTTGACATAAAACCCATAAAATTCTGTTGTTTAATTGGAAATAATTAAATTTGGCAAAAAATGCCTGTCAGAAACCCGTTGCCATGGCAACAAGAAAAATCATAATCTTATTCCACTGATACAGATTTGTTGCCAATAATATTTTAGGAAAAGTCACCAAATTTGGCGGTTCTAGCTTTAGCCGTTTCAGACGCTAGGTGACATCAAAGTTGCCGCGGGCACTTTAAGCCCCCCCCCCCCCGGTCTAGATAGGGTTAAAACTAGCGAAGGTCTTACCGAAACGTTCGTAACTAACTGTCGGGTTCGAACAAGGTTGTAATCATTTACACTGTTGAATTTATTCATACGCGATTTGACGGATGTGTTTGATGACCATTTTTAAAATCCCACTTGCTTACATAACAAGAACGTTTCATGCTTGTTATGTGCAGACGATCTAGTTCTTTTCTACAAATCCCAACAAGGTCTGTATTGTACATGTACATGTACAGAAGGCATAATTCAGCCTTTAGCGGCAACGCATTGTTAACTATTAAACAGGATTGATTGATTGATTGAATGAATGAATGAATGAATGAATGAATGAATGAATGAATGATGGATGGATTGATTGATTGATTGCTTACACCACTTCATTCATGCCCCAAAACCTATCCACCATACAAAAATTCAGATAATTGCTCTTCCAGAACTTGAACTGCTAAATCACAAACCATCACATACAAAAGGTCCACTGCAGTGACGTAGGGACCACCCATGAGGCCCATTTTCGAACAAGACCTTGGTCTCTCCAACGTTAACTGCCTACCGAAAATTATTAAAATCGATCCATATATGCCTTCAAGAGTTATGCCGCTTGAAGCACAGTCTTCCAAAGCAAACTGATTTGCTAACCTTCTAACGCTAACGAAGGCAAATACTTTTTTTCACTCTAATCAGCTTTTTATTTTTTTATTTTTTAAATCTTTTTATTCATATTCACACAAACAATAGACATAAACATAAACAAAACGCCTCCCTAAAATCTAATACATAAAGTAAAATTAATACATAG